CGATCAGTCGTATTGGAAAACTATTACAACCGAAATGCAAGAAGATCGGCATGCAATGATATTATTACAGTTGTCTTGTCGTGATCAATCGCGGCGATCAAATCGCGTGAACTCTGCCCGAGACCTAAAGGGCCGGGCATACCCGTCGCGAGGCAATCGTCGCGATTTGTAATTGGTGGGAACTAGCGACGGAAACGCGCGACTGATCACTAATCGCTCGGATATGGAGCATATCTTTCAAGCAATTTGTGCATTCTCACACTACACTAAATTTTGTTGTCAGTTTGTGGTGTCATTAAGAGATACAGAGAAATGATAGAGAAAACCATTACATTTGGATGCTGGACTCATTCGCACTTCTTATGCAAAAAAACTATCTTCAAAGAGAAAGAAAAAGACCAACATAAATTCTTTCGCAAAGAAATACCAATCCAAGCGATGCGTGGCGTCGCGCATTCGAAATGAGCGACGCGAATTCGCAGAGATAAGCGACGATCGCGGCGATTTCGCTCGGATAGGTATGGCCTAGCAAAAAACGATCAGCGATACGTCACGCCAAACAGCTAGCACATACTAACGGGGATTCTACGCACGTGTAACACTTGTCCTTTGGCAAAGCTCGCGACGCGATGGATCGCTGCACGATATGCCCGGCCCTTAACAATAATGTTTTGTTTGGAACTGTAGATCATCCTCCCGGATTTTTGCAAGGAGCAAGCTAGCTTACACTATGATTAACATTTTTTGCTTTTCTAAAGAGAATTCTTCAATTAGTATTACGCTGGTGCAAAATTAGTGCGCGTTTTGCACGCTCTCACTCTAACATGCAATAACTTTCCAAAATTTCTATTTTCGACGCGACAAAAGACAGAGGCAGCAAACATTTCGCAATACGCATACACCCTACCTTATTCATATCAGAACATGGAGAAAAATATGAATTGATAAGCAAAAAAATTTCTAATAGCTCGTTTCGACTGACCATAACTCCCTTCGAAATTTGTCAGCATAAATAAGAAGTAGCCTATTTTATAGCAGCAGCTGGTAGTAAGAAGTAAAATGAAAATGACTCAAACTAAGAAGTTTTGCGAGAAGGGAATTTTTGAAATCCAGAAGTGTTAGCTTTTTCAATATTTTCTCGTAAGCTTCGATGTCAAAAATAAGTAATTTCGCTGCTTACTAAACAGCTAAACATTTTTTGCAAAAACCGTCAACAGGAGGCCCAACCTTGCGTTTACAAAAATGAGCAAAGCTTTAGCGGTTTTGCTTTTTCGAAGGAATATGGGCCACAAAATGACCAAAACGACTACGTAGTTTGAGGCGCCAAAATTCTTTATTACATACTTTGGCTTAAAAATTTTTCATTCACTCTTGAGTTCTGGCGAGAAAAGCGAATATCGTGAACAGGCTTCTAATGCGGCTGTGTGAAGCTCTACATATTTTGAATAAAATGAGGTTAGAGGCCCCTTTCAACCACCACTAAATTGGATACGAAGAGAGCTTCTTGATAGTACACTGAGTTTTTTTCTAAAGAAGAAGTTTGAAAAAAAAAGTTATTCTAAAATAAGGGCTAGATTCTCGGCGGCTCTGAAAGCGGGCATAGCATCACTGCTTCCTGGAAGGGTAAGGATTAAGTAATAGACAACAAATTCCACCATCTCTTCTTCAGTTACCTACAGTTGTGACCGTGGAATTTGTCCAAAATTGCGGGATTTTCGAGATTCGCGATGTTTGTGGGATTCGCGACTTCACGGGATTCGCGGGATTTGCGGGACTTGCGGGATTTAGCTATAACTTCTTTTAAAATAACTTTATTTGTAATCTGCGCGAAGATTTGGCTTCGGCTTGATGAGACGAATCTTTTGATATACAGTATGTCAGTAATTCGAATCTTTGTTTTTCTCTATGATAACGCTTTTTTGATCACCTACCACAGTGTGTATCGCGAATAGCAGGTTCTGGTACGGAGTTTTCATTATTGAAAACTATCGCGAGAGATTAAGCCTTTTTTATTCACCCTTATAACTGGTATAAGCATTTTATCATTAATCACTGATAATATTACATTTTTGGATCATTTCTGGCACATGTCAAGAAAAGTACTGTAGAAAACGTTGTGTGAATCTCTATTGCCATTTCTCTCGCTATAATTGATCTACATGCTTTTCTAGTTCTATTGCTCGGTGCAATTGGTGGATTCCTCGCTGCAGCAATCGATCGATTTCTCATCGGCACATACCATCATTGTTGCCAATTCTTACCTAAAATGGCATTTTTGCTTCAGCTCGCTTCACGCCGAATCCTGGGCTGAAATTCTGCACCTACATGGAAGATGAACGTGGCAATCGACCGCATGAATTTAAGCCATTCTTATCTATCGTTGTCATTGATATCATCATTTTATTATTTATCACTGATGATATCACAAAATCGAATCATTTTTGACATACAGCAAGAAATTTACTTTAAAAAACATACAGTATGTCTCCTAATTCGTGACGGGGTAGACAGACAGTGATACCTTGTTGTTTTCTATGTTAAGGCTTTTGTGAACGTCTATCACAGTTTAAATCGCGAATAGCAGGTTCTGGTTTGAAGTTTTCATTATCGAAAGCTATCGCGAGAGATTAAGCCGTTTTTTATGCACGCTTATCATTGTTAAAAGCATTTTATCATTTATCACTGATAATATCACATATTTTGATCATTTTTGGCATATGGTAAAAAAAAGTACTGTAGGAAACGCTGAGTGAATTTCTATCGCTCTTTCTCTAATTATAAGTGATCTACAGGCTTTTCTAGTTCTATTGCTCGGTGCAATTGGTGGATCCCTCGCTGCAGCAATCAATCGATTTCTCATCGGCACATGCCATGCCGCCACTTACCTAAAATGGCATTTTTCCTTCATCTGGCTTTACGCCGAAGCCTGGGCTGAAATTCTGCACCTACATGGAAGATGAACGTGGGAATCGACCGCATGAATTTAAGCCATTCTTATCTATCGTTGTCATTGATATCATCATTTTATCATTTATCACTGATGATATCACAAAATTGGATCTTTTCTGATATACAGTAAGAAATGTACTTTAGAAAACACTGTGCAAGTTTTCATTGCTCTATCTCTTATAGTATGTGATCTACAGGCTTTTTCGGTTCAATTGCGCATTCGGTGCAGTAGATAGATCCCTCATTGCAGCAATCGATTGATTGCTATGCGCATAACACCGTCTCTTTGGAGACGTTGCTCTTCAAAAAATTCACCGCTCTATAAATTGTGAATGAACCGAGTTGCCTGTCAACGAGAGTTTCAACGATGAGCTGAACAATTCTGTTTTCTGCGTATGGATATACAGATCCAGACAGCGTGCTCGAGCATCTTTTCACCAGAGTCCACACCAAATTGAAAATGGAATAGTAAGGAAGTATAGTATATTAGAGGGTTCATTTTGACGAGCTGAACATCATGCTTTTGTCGGACTTCTAGTTTATGTAATCTGAAAAAAATTATGAGCAAAAAACGAAAAAAAACGCGGATCGTCAGTTTTTGCGTTTTCTGTCGGATAATTATTGTGGGTACTGTAGTTTGCGCGATTCGCGTGATTTCGCGAAAATCCCGGAATGTTCAAAACTTCCAGAACATTGCGGACTTCCGCAAAACCTCCGGAATCACGACAACAAAGAAGATCTGCACATTTTGTGAGCTATTGTAGAGAACAAGAAATAGAGTAGAGCCTAGGAGAATTTATAAAAACTTCGGTACGGAGGCAACCGCCCATGTACGCGCATCGTTCGCAGAATTGACACTTCGATTTCTGACCATTCCCTTGTGAGTGACCATTGTACAGCTGAGAAAAAGTTTTAGATCTAACCAGAAAAAAATCGAAAATGTCAAGAAATTTGTGATTGCTTGTATCTTGTCATGCGTAGTCCAACAACGAACAACGTTTAGCCTCGCGAATGCATGGAACGATTACGAGTAACACGTTGCCTAACCACGAACCGTTTCTTTCGGTTAAAAGTTATCCTCGAACGGTCCCACCTTCAAATCTCTATGCGAAAACGTCCGTGGAAGAGAAGAAAACAAATCGATTATCTGCTCTTGTCGGGAAAAATCTGTTACAAGTTTAGCAAAAAAGGAAAAAAAGGACTGCACATTCGACCCTACCTACAGTGCCGAGTGGTAATAAGACCGATGTCAGGCTGCTAAAGGCGCCTGGTTTAAAAAAAACGACACGTCTTGGACGGCACACCATGAAGGCTTCCTCATGCTCTGCACCTACAGCGTCAGGTCAGTCTCCACAACGCATCATAACGCCTTCCTCTACGCATACAGCAGTCAAAATCGCTGGTTCAGAAAGATGTATGAAATTATAAACAACACACATTTTGAGGAATGTGAGAAGTACGAAAACACAGCCTATGACTTTTGAAAAAAAACGTTGTAAATTAGTCCTCCTTCGCTACCATTATCATATCTAAACAACGGATATGTCTATTTTTGTCTTCGTATTTTGGGGAGGTTACGTCAAAAAAATATGCTACGATGACTGCGAGTGAGCTGAACGTGCTACAGGAATTACCACAAACCTCGAGAAGACGGCGAGACGCATTTTTGTCGTCTTGAGTTAACTTGTAATTAACGAACAAGTCAACTCGGCGGAGGCTTGAAACGAATGCAAGCAATGAAGTCAAATCAAAATTCTTTCTCTCTCTTTCTCTTTTCCATTTTTCATCTCCTTCCAAAATCGGCCAAACACCGAATTTCTGAAGCGTTCAAATGTAAACGGAAGAGATGCAAAAGTAGAGGTGAGAAACTGTGACAAACATTTAGTGTCCGTATCATTCTCCTACCGATGCGATTTCGTTCATTCATGTCCATACATTTCTTGTAATGAATCTTTAAACCGTTCAAAACTTTTGATTTATAACTTTCCTTTGATTCAAACAGCTCTGAAAACATGCTTGAATAGAAAAACTTGGCTGGAAAAATGCAACACTTAGACGTAAAAGTAAGCAAAGTTGCAGTTATGCGTATCCGCGTTCATATTCTTACCTCTTAGTTCCTCTTCCACTTTATCTCCAAGTTTTGTCCATTGAGAATAAGATATGTGGTGACCGGGAATTGGATTCTGTTTTACCCAGTTACCGCAAGTAAACTCATAAAAGTCCTGACATGGATCCACCTGAAGTGATCATTTTTTTTACATATCCTAAAGGATCGAAGGCAACTGACCGAGAAGTTGATGGATTTCCTAATCATTTTGCACGCGAGTTTATAGCCAGGTGAATTGCCAATGTCTTCTTCAGGGGGCTTAGTGGAAGGTGCACACCACCAGCAAAATATCGCCAATATACACTGCATGGCGAATTCTGAAACATGTCGCTTGATTTACAAAATTTGTGAACGATTTGTTTACATTTTTAAGTATTAAAATAATGTCAAAATTCAAATCAGCCTTGCAAAAAGTGCGTAGGTAATGCGTAGGTTGCGAATTTGGAAGTCGTTTACATTCTTTACAAAAATATGCAAAAGACTTTTTTGAGTTTGTGAATGAAAATTCTTTATATCTCAAAAAAAAAACAATTTAGCCTTATGAAAAAGTTTTCGCTTTGTCGAATGCGTGAGCGAAAGAGCCTTTATTTTGAAAAAAAAACTTGTTCCCCGAGGGGTTATCACGTCGTCGCGTGTTTAATCAAACGTAAATTTTCAGCTCTCTACAAGCTTTAGTTCTCGAGAAATATCGAATATAGCCTTCATTAGTTTCCTTCATACGGCGATTACAAATTTGAAGAGCTATTCCTGCCGTGAAAGATGTTCTCTTCGTTTCCGGGCTTAGATTGTATCATTTGCAGCTTCACAATTATAGAATTTTTTGAGACAAAATGGGACTTTTTCGGCACCACCAGTACTCGTTTTTCTGTGTGAAAGCTCACGGGAAGCTCAATAATGGAGAAGAAGAGCTACTAATACTTGAGTTTGACGCGCCAACTAACAAGCGCAACTAATAAGCGAAGATCTTTCCAAACAAGGTTTTGAAAGAAGATGTAAACGATTTCCTTCGCTTGTACTTGCGCATTGATAGACAGCCACTCTCAATCATTTTTAGTGAGCAAAGTTTTTGTATTTATGTGCTTTAGTGACCTCATCAACACTAATGAAATCGGAGAAAGGAGTTAGGATTACTTTCTTAGTGCCGGCTGCCATGAGACAATTTATAGCACTGAGATAAGTTAGAATTGCAGAAATGTGTAAAATATTTGAAAATTAGAAAGCCTTCATTCAGATAATTCGTTCATTCATTCGAGGAATTGTTCGATTATTCGTATAGACGAGTATATTAGGTCGTTCCGAAAGTTCTTTCCGTTTTTTACCTATCATAAAAACACGTGGAATGAAGGAGAGGAACGCTTTAGGCACTGTCCGACGCAGCTTTTCTTCCTCTTTTCAACTCTCGTATTCCTGTGCTGCTTGCTCCTGCAGTCAGTGAGATAATGACCGAAATTGCGCACCCATAGTTCTTACCGTGTCCAAATTTGGTAATTTTTCACAGCCTTCTTTTTTGACTTTTACGAAAGCTTTAATAGCAGTCAAATGGAGCAAGCATAGTGCAATTCAATGCAATTTTTCGCCGTTTATAGCTGGCCTTAAAAATTTTTGAGAATTATTTTTCTGATGCTATCAAATTCCACTTTTAGGGACGCCAAGAGCCATAGAACATAGGACGGCGCACAACTAAGGTGTCATTCGATGCAGCTTTTCCTTCTCTTTCTAATGAATGTATTATAAAGTTTCCATAATTCTTGATTTTGAACCCGCCCCAGCCTGTACACGTAAAATGCGAAACCTTATATTTACAAGCGGTAAACGCTCATTTGCTTTGTAAAAATTGTGGATAATCGTAACTGACTTTAAAAAGCTTCAAAATCCGTAGATTTGCCGGTGTTCGGGCATTTCTGTATTTTGGGACTTTGCAAAAGTGAAGACTTTTGGAAAAATTATCTCAAAAAATACTGAAAGGCCACCTGAACAAGCGAAAAAATTGCATTGTATTGCACTTTGTTTACTCTATCTGGCAGTTATCAAAGCTTTCCCAAAAGTCAAAAAAGAAGATTGTGAAAAATTGCCAAAGTTGGGCATGGTGAAAACCATGGGTTCGAGATCTCGGCCGTTATCTCAGTGATCACAAGAGTAAGCGACATGGGAGTATGACTGCTAGAAAGAGGAAGAAAAGCTGCGTCGTATAGTGTCCAAAGCGTTTCCCTACCTTCATTCCACGTCTTTTTATGATAGGTTGGAAAAACGGAAAGAACTTTCGGAACGACCTAATATAGGTCATCCCAAAAGTATTTTCGCTTTTTTTGTCTTTTCAAGCGCCACAGTCCGTAGAACAAAGTTTACAGGAGCTCTTGGTAGCATTCGATGCAGTTTTTCATGCTCTTTCGAATGATCATCTTTATCATGCAGATGTACCAACGAGCTCTCAGAAAATTGCTGCAAACTGCAACACATGCTTTTTTCCAAATTCAGATTCAGCTATTTTTTGAATTTTTGTACTAATCCCCGAAGAAGTACAAGAACCTGTCGATAGAGCAAACAAAGTAGGATGTAAAACAATTTTTGCCTCTTCCATAGTTTACTTTGAAAAAATTTCAAAATTATTTTTTCGATGCTATCAAATTCATATTTGGTCAACTTGAACCTCAAGAAACAGTCGGCGAGCAATCGGGTGTTATTTGACGCAGCACTTTCTCCTCTTTTAGAAACATGTTCTTTGCTCCTGGTTCGAGAGGTCTTGGAGGATAAAATCGACAACCTTCATGTTTTTCAAGGAACCTCATCTGTACCCGACAAATTGAAAAATTAAATAAAAACAAATTAGATATTTCGGAACCCAGAACGCTCAGTTGTTTTGCGATTTTTGCAAAATTAGTGCTGAATGCCAATCCAATTGAAAATATCAAAAATCGAGAATTTAGTGGAGTTTGACGAGAAAGATAGTGTTGTTCAAAATTCTGTCAAAAAATTATGGAGAGCCCTGTAAAGGAGATCGAAACTGTTTTGTATTCCACTTTATTTGCTCTATCCGCAGGCCACTTGGACTTCCTCGGAAGGTCAGTACAAGAATTAGAAAAAATAGCTGAATTTGGTAAAAAACATGGGTCGCAATTTGCAGCAATTTTCTGAGAGCTTGTCGCTACATCTGCATTATGATCGAAAGAAAATGAAAAACTGCATCGAATGCTACCAAGAGCTCTTGTAAACCTTTGTTCTGCGGACTGTGGCGCTTGTTCAAATAAAGCGAAAATACTTTTGGACGACCTAATATAAATTTCATCGGGAAGTGACCTTCGAATATTCGAGGATTTTCAAAAGTTACTTTGTTACTTTCTTGCTTGTTAAAAAGACTACGATCAACTCAATGTGCAGAACTTGCAAGTCGATGAATGGTAATCAAAATAACTGACTCGAGAGTCACCGCGGATGATAAAAGCACTGACTTGGTAATTGGCTGACCCTTACTCGTCTCTGTTAAAGGCAGAGGCTTCGCAAATCTCAACTTCAAGTCAAGTTTTCGCTTACTTGGGGTTATTGAATACGCTGATCTCAGAAATCTACTTCAGCGAGCTTGAAAACGGCGAAAACGAGCGTTTTTAATGTCCTTCCCTTTAAAATAGAACGAGTGGGCCCAAGGCTTGACGCTGGATCGCGGGACCCAACGGTTATAGCATTGCGGCGGGCAGCTTCCAATGGTGAGAAAGAATTGCCAAAACTCGTCCGGGCGCGTGTAAGATTGGCTTGCGCGCGTAAGCTTGAGAGCAATTTTCTCGGCAGGGAAGGCATACTTTGCTGTTTTCATACTTGGGCGATAAGGAACCTACGGCGTTAAAATCCTGAGTTGTTAAGTTCTGCCGATCCACTGCTTTTAAGACTTACCATTCTAGCCCTTTAACTATGAAGTAAAGTGCGTTAGGCGCAAGCCCGCAAAGGTATTGAAGATGCCGAATCCTTCAATCTTCAAATTCTTTATTGACTCATAAAAACTTCAGCATTAGACTGCATTGTAAGTGCAGAGAATATTACTATTTTAACGGTTTCGACAATTGTCTAAACTGACATGCCTCGATTGTTTTGAATTCCAATTGAACTAAATTGATCAGTTTAGCTTTACAAAGTTCAAATGGAAGTACGTTGTTACATTGAATTGAATAGCAACGCTATTGACAGTAATAGTAGGCATTTTGAGAGCTATTCCTGACGCGCACGTACTGTGTCAACAGTGATGTTCATTCCCTGGAATAGTTGGTGATTGCTCAGCTAAGCTATTACACGTGCGCACAGTACAATATCAACAGTGATGTACCATTCAATGAACTAGTTGGTGATTGCTCAGCTAAGCAATTACATATGGTAGGGTCTTTTGCGACAAAGGACATTAAACAATGTGAAGTTCCAGTGGTTGCTTTTCCGTTGAGTTTCATGCAGCTTATTTTTGACGGAGAAAAAAGATTTAAAGTAAGCATGGCAGAGATTGCAAGTGTTTCCAAAAGATTTGATACACCTTCCGAACGGTTGCGAGTAAACCTTGCTGGTCACATAAAGCGCAGCGCACTAATGCGCGGGGGTAACTAAGTTCATAGGAGTCTAGTCGTTCGATCATAAAATCGGGCTGAAAAGCTGCAAAACATGACGAGAAACTGAACTCTGAATCCACTTCCATGCAACTATGCATCTTCACGTATGGATGCACTAGACTTTTTACAAGAAGCACTAGATCTTTTTCTGGAAAGTCCAGCGAGTCCAAGTTTATTCTTAACGCACGGACTAGTTTTTCACACGCTATATCATGTATTAGGTTGTCCGGAAATTAATGCAGGTTTTAAATTTCAAACGCAATAAGTCATACACTTCTCATTTCTAAAATAGGTTGCAAGGTACCATTCGATAGAGCAAAGCAAGATCTACAAGGTGGCGATCTTGCTTTAGCAACAGCTCTGATCCACAACGAATTTCCAGCCAGAAACTGAAAAGATTCAACTGCCCGAAAAATTGAGAAAAATTGTAACTCAGTTCATAATAATCCTGCAAAAATTCTAACTTGCTCACGTAAACCCAATCCACATAAGACATCCATAAACGCCGTTGCCGTATTTTTTTTCTCTGTTGAAAATCGAGAAACCCAATCCACATAAGACATCCATAAACGCCGTTGCCGTATTTTTTTTCTCTGTTGAAAATCAAGAAAACGGAAATTTTCATGCATTTGCCAAAGTGGTGCTGTGCCGTTCCCACATAAGTAGTTGCATACTACAAACCTGTAGAAGTACAAACGTAAATTTTCAGCTCTCTACAAGCTTTAGTTC